ATATACTGTTTTTGCATTCTTTAGGTAGACACCTAGTCGTGGGCTTGCTGGATCATATGGTAGATTTGTTTTTAATATTTTGAGAAATCTCCAAACTGTTCTTCATAGGGTTGAAACTACATTCACTCTGTATTACCACCAACTGTGAATAAGGGTTCCTTTTTCTCCACATTGTCACCAACACTTGTTTCTAGTTTTTTGATAGCAGCCATTCTCATGGGGGTAAGTTGATATCTCACTGTGGTTTTGATTTGCTGGGTACCATGTGCTTAGTCAAACTGACATGTAAAATTCACATCACAAATATCAGAACGTACATGCAGCTTACACTAAAAAGCCGGGTGCCAAAATATAAATCAGACTGGACACCAGAAGCTACCCCTTAATGCCTGCTTTTCTCATCACAGGGACTTAGACTATCCACAATTAAGAAAGAGTTTACAGTTTCTCACTTCTATGATGCCAACATCATCTTCTTTTAACTACCAAAGCCACCATCCATGAGCCTCTGCTTGCCCCAAAGCCACATTAACACTGGGAGACCACCCTAGTACTTTGGAACCACGGACTGGGGGATGTCTGATCTTTATCTGTGGATTTAAGAGAGTGACAAAAGAGAAACTTCGGCCAGCTACTTCTTGCCTAACTAACATTTCTTCATGGATATAAACAACAGTGAGAATTTCCCTGAGCACATTCATATTTTAAGGATGAAAGTCCTAATCAAACAGCAACTGGACCTGTCAAAGGCGTAAATTCCACTTTTAGAGAGCTTCAGCAAAATAAAAAGTTGACCTGTGGCCAATGTTTGATTTCACATAATCCTTAACGCATATGTGACCAACAGTGATATTTCATTTCACAACTGAGTAAATCTCTAAAAGCCAAATCCTCTAGTGTTTACACCCATCTTATGCCATCAGAAATGAATGAATTACTGCCATATGGATCATCACATTGCCTCAAATTTGTTCCATTATGAAAATCCCATTTTAAAATTCAAAAGCCCATAAAACTCTTGATTAATGACACTATTGCTGCACATTTGAGATCATGGGCAATTTTTCTCTATTTTAGAGACTAACAAAATGCACAGCTTTATAACTTTTCTTCCTATGCACAATTATTTCCTTTGGAATAAATTACTAAAAGTAAAATGGATACATCAAAGTTTATCAATTATAGGAAATTTAATAACAAAATTATCTTAGAAAAACACTTTACCTTTCCATTACATCACCAAAACTATTTAAAAAATGAACCCTATGCTTGGTATATGTTTTGTGAACTTTTATTAACATGGCCTTTTGGTTCTAGCTCATATTTTTTAATTACTAATGAAAGTTGAACATTTTTAATAGGTTTTGTTGACTTTTTAGGTGACATTTTATATATTTCAAATGTTTTATCCAGCAATTCATCTATAACAAAGAAGCAAAGAATATGCACTGGAAGAAGGTGCATGTTCTTCAACAATTGGTGTTGGGAATTGCACATGCAAAAGAATAAAATGACTGCCACATGCAAAAGAATAAAATGAAATCAGTATCTCATACATGAAAATCAACTCAAAATGGATAAAAGACTTGGATGTAAGACCTGAAACCATATAATACATGGAAGAAAACATAGCCAAAACACTCTGCTACACAAACTCAGAAACATCTTTGGAGATTCATCTCCAGCAGCAAGGAAAACAAATGAGGATATAAAACAACTAGAACTGGGGGCCTCCCTGATGGCACAAGGGGTTAAGCACTGCACTATGAAGCAATCCACAGCCTCTGCAGCATGACTTCGATCCCCAGCCAGCCAGGGAGCAACCCACATGGCGCAGCAGACCTCTCGTCTCGCCCGCTGCTCCCCTCAGCAGTGTATTTCAGTCAGTCTGCCTATTCTGTTCCCCACTCTGTCTCTGGTGAATCCTCTCACCCCCGCATCTCTGGCCTGTACCCCAGCTCTTGTATACATAAATAAATATTTAAAAAATAAATAAAACAACTGGGACTACATCACACTAAAAAGCTTTAGCATACTATACAGTGAAAGAGACAGTAACCAAAATGAAGAGATGTAATACAGAATGGGAGGAAAAAATTTGCACACCATACATTGGAGAAGGGAGTAATATCAAAAGTCTACAAACAGGTAATACAACTCAACAAAAAGAAAACAACCTAATCAAAAAATGGGCAGAAGAGTTAATAGTCACTACTCCAATAAGACATTAGCCAATAGACATATGAAAAAATGGTCATCATCACTTATCATCAGGGAAATGATGATACCACTGCACATCTGTCCCATATCCCCCCCAAAAAAAACCCCAGAAACAAGTGCTGGCAAAGGTGTGGAGAAAAGAACCTCTTATACTATTGGTGGGAATGTAGACTGGTCCAGGCCCTATGGACTGTGGAGGTGCCTCAAAACACTAAAAAATGGATCTGCCATATGATCCAGCAATTCCACTCCTAGGAATCTGCTCAAAGAACAGAAAACACTAATTCAAGAGGAAAGCTGCATACCCATTTTTATAGCAGCACTATTTATAATAGCCACAATATGGGAACAACCTAAAATGCCCCAGAATGGATGAGATGATCAAGAAAATGTGGTATATATACACAGTGGAATACTACATAGTATAGTGATCAAAAAAAGATAGACTCATACCACTTATAGCAACATGGATAGAACTGGAAGGGATTATGTTAAGTGAAACAAGCCAGAGGGAGAAAGATAAAGTCCTGATGGTTTATTTCACTTTAGGTGGAATATAGAGAAACCAAACAAAGGATTAGGTAAACTACAACCTACCCTTGAAAGCTGCCCCTAGATATGAACCATTCAGGATGGGAGAAGGAAGGAAAAGGGGGTGGGACAGAGCACAGTGGACTATGGTGAAGGACTATCTGTGCTTATGCAGTGACAGAACTATGGTGACCATACCTGAGGGGACAAATGCCAGATTGTGGGAGGAAAACTAACAAGGATTAAAATAATGGTGCTTTTATTTAAAAAAATGTTTTGTCCATTTTTCTTTTGAGTATTTTTTCTTGAATAGTCTGTAAGAGCACTTTTCCTATTAAGGAAATTCACTATTTTTTTCTTTTTTGTTTGTTGTAAATACTTGTTTGTTTGCAGTTGACATGAAATTTATAGTATTTGATATACTGCACCACCTAAAATTTAAAGTCATTAACATCTTCCTTTATAATTTATGCCCCTTGATGTATCATAATTTCTTTTAATTTATTTCAGTTTATGCCCACATGTAGCTTCAAACTAATTTAGAAAATTAAACTGGGTATAGGGTAATCATCTTCCAGTGGCTGATGTCACAGAATATTGACTTCTGTCTTGCCCCACTAGCTGGTGGAATGTCAATATAACCCAAGGAGGAAAGAACACTTACCCCCAAGCAAATGATATCCACTATCACTATTCAAATGGATTGGGTTGGTTCCACCAGTCCAAATGAATTTGATTAGTAGCTTTAAATATTTTAACTCCTCACATTGCCATGCTTCCCAATTTTTCTGTCAAAGGGTTTCACATTAATCATTACAACCTTCCATTGGACATAATCAGAAAGGAAAGGTATGCATCTCCTCCCCTTCGTACAGATCAGGAAGCTGAGACTGGGAAGCAATAATGATTGAGCCACCTAAGACTGTTCAATAAACAAGCTTGCAGGGTGTAGAATGCAGGTCTCCTGGGCGCCTGTTCTAATTTCTTTCCACCAAACTATGAAAAGTTCTCCCAGTGAGAATGAGGAATTAAAAGAACGGGAATTAGAGAAGTAGAGATATAGAAAGGATCTAGTCTCAGGGCAGGGCATTTCTTCTATTACCTCATTTCCAAACCCCATAGTTTAGGTGCTTTTATAGAAGATGAACATAAATTACACAAATATGCCTGATAAAATTGTTTCTGCCATTTGTGACAATATATAAACCTAGAGGAACTTACGCAAAGTGAAATAATTCAGACGCAGAAAGACAAATGCCACATGATCTCACCCATATGTGGAATAGAAAATCATCAATACCATAAAGGCAGAGAGAAGAATGATGGTTGCCATTACAAAGGAGGGGGAGAATATTAATCAAAGATTCAATCATGTGGGATGATTAAGTTCTGGACATGTAATGCAAAGCACAGTGACTGCAGCTTATAATGCTGTATTATATTGATATATTTGAAATTTGCTAACAGAATTGATCTGAAGTGTTCTCACCACACACAAAAAAAGTAACCATATGAGGTGATGGATGTGTTCCTTGTCTGTGGTAATCATTTCACAATGTACATGTATCAAAACCACATGGCGTACACCATAAATATGTGCAATTTTATTTCAAGGATACTTCAATAAAATTAGAAAAAAAAACAAAACTGAAATATTCATTTATTCTTCTACTTTAGTGATAAGCAGCAAGAAACAAATGGGGTTTAAGGCAATATTTAAAAAGGGACGATGACAATACCACAATTGTTGACCACAATTCAGCCTACAGAGTATCAAAATTTAAAATTTTTCTTTTATCTATATTTAGGTATACCTTTTGCTAATCAGGATTTAATTTACTAAGCCTTCTCACATGACCAAATGCCAATTTCCTCTCAGAATTATCAATGAGTTACTATATTGTTAGTTAAGGATTATGTCAGCTAATACCTAGCTGTATTTCTAGTATAAAGAAAACATTACCATTGTTTCTAAAACAAAACACAAGCTAACATTCAATAATTTGTGGGAAAACAGGCATATCCATTAATACCCGACACATTTAAATTAAAAAATTTTATGTGTTCAAATTATCACTACCTCTTAAAAGTCCCTGGAAACACATAAATTACTCGGGTAAGATTTTTGTGGAATTGTGAAATTTACCCCCCCCACCCGTCTTAAATTTAAAGTATAACTATATCCAGCCCCAAGAGAAACCCATACATCTTTTTCAAATATTTTTCAGAAAACATTCAATATCTAATACCTTTTGTTCCACCTTCAAAAATTGAGCCAGTTCTTCCACAGTTAGGTGATCTTTCTTGTCACTGTAGCTCAAAAGCAACAAATAAAGGTCCCGTCTCAATGACATCATTTTATAAAAAACACAGAACTCTTCAAATGTCAAAGTTCCCTGATTCTCATCTGTATCTGCTTCCTGAAAGAGAAACACAAGGAGAAAAAAAAAGCAGACAGTGAGACTCTGGAATAGAAAATCTAGTCCTGGGAAAATTATTTACTCTAAAAAGGCTAGCTAGCACTCATTTTACAAATAGTAAACATACATTCTTTTCAAACATAGGAACCAATTTTAAAATGAACTATATATCATCAGACCACAAACCTTCAACAAATTATAAAGAATCAACCTTATAAAAACCAATTTTTTTATCACAAGAAGTTACAAATCAACAAAGAAAGCTTTTTAAAAAACAATTAGGAAGCAGTAATTTCTAAATAGGAAAGGAGGCAGTTCTTGTCTTTTAAGACTGCCCTCCTGTGTCTATGGAGGTGTCTCTCTCTCTCCCCTTTTATCTTTCCCCAATAAATTTGCCATGTACGGCTGAAAAAAAAAATAGGAAAAGACATGTAACACAGTGAATATGCACACTAGATATTGAAACTCAGTGATGAAGTTAAAGCAGTACTTAGAAGGAAATTTGGAGTTTTAAATTTATTAGGAAAAAATAAAAATAAATAAGCTAATAAGTCAACTCAAAAAGCTACAAAATAAAGCAGAGCTAGAAAATATTAAGTTGAACAAAATCGGAGGTAATAAATTATACAGACAAAAGCAGAAAGCAATGAAATAGAAAATACAAATAGGCATAACACCAAAGGTTAACAGTTAAACCAAAGGCTGATCTTTTGAAGAAAATAATGAAAAAGAGGAATCTTGAACAAAACTAATCAAGAACAAAAGAGACATTTAGCACATAATGAAAACACCAGTCTCTCATCAGCTTCTGTGCTATAATTCAATCAAAAGCAATTTTTACCTATAGTGATTCCTTCTCATTTCTGCATAGAAAGCTCTTATAGTCATCAGCATCTTGGTTCCCCCCTTGCTTTCCCTCCATAGAAATCTAAAAAATCCCTCTGGACTGATTTCTAGTTGAAAGTATTTGTTTCTAGTAATTAGTAAGATACTTTTACAAAGTATCTTCCTTCTGATTAACTCAATTTGTCATAAAGCCATAAAACTCTTGGGGAAGTAGAATGAGCAACCAATCCATTCACCTGATCTTCATTCTAACCGGACAGATGTAACTGAACAAAAATGGACAAGGAAAGGATGACATTTTGAAATGCATGATTTTGTAATGTATACTTGTCACTTATGTGGTTTTAAACAAAACTTTGAAAGCCAATGTGCTCATAAAAAAAAATACTTTTAAAACCTTTGTTAATCTTGGGTCAATTCTGGACACTCACTTTGACCAGAATTTAAGCCATACCATTTCCCTGTGAGAAACAGGTTAGGTAGGTTAAAACGGAGATAGGTTAAGCTATAGAATATCATACTTTTGGTGTGTAAGGTTCTTGGTTGCAGAATCTTTGCAACCTAAAAAACTGGATCAAATGTTCACATTCTGTAATAACTTTGTCTCAAAATACTGAACCCTGTGTACAGAAATAAAACATTTTTAAGACTTTCTTGTAAATGCCTTATCAATTAAGAACAGTAAAATTAGGATGTTTAGTCATGATAGCATCTAACATCTCAAAAGTATACCATACCTTAAAGGATTACTTTAAGAAAAAAACAATCAGTTGGATCTGACACTACAACAAAAAAAGCAAAAAATATTCATGTCTCTACCAGCGACGTGTCAAAAGCAATAGAATGGTTCAGAAATAATACTAAGAACCTTAGTCAGCCCGCTCCCATCATGGGCACTGACAGAACTCTGTTAGATGCCAGGCCTACATGTGAGTGTAGGAAATGCTCTGCACACAGAGGCCCATCTGTTTTCCAGGTCACTTCTGGCTTGACAGTTTTGTTGTTGTTGTTTTTTCTGCATAGAAGAACTAGGGTGTAAGCCAGAGGTGCAGGAGGTTGAGGAGATTTACCAGAGACAGAGTGGGGAGCAGAACAGGCAGATTTACTGAAATACACTGAGGGGAGCAGTGGTGAGACAGGAGCAATCTGCAGCACCATATGTGGATGAGCTCCTTGGGCAGGGATCAAACTCAGGCCATAGTGGATGATAGTGCTGAGACTTAACCCTAGGCCACCAAGGAGGCTCCCTTGATAAATCTTTAAACCTAAAGTCCTACAGAGAGACGCTTAATGTTTTCTTCAAACTTGTCGAAAAGATTAACTTTGAACTTACAAGATATTTGACATAAACACTTTCTGGTTCACCCTCTAAAATATTTGGTGTATTGGAGATAACAGTGTCTGAATGGGAGAAAAATATAATAAAAAAAATAGTTCAATATCTTATATGTTTCTGCCTTATCACGCACAAAGTACCCAAAAATTATTTTTGTAGGGCCTCCCGGTGGCGCAGCGGTTGAGCGCTGGGTTGTGAAGTTGCCCGCAGCCTCTGCTGCGCCAGTTTGATCCCCGGCCACTGGGCGAGGGTCCCACATGGTGCGCAGACCTCTCCTGCCCGCTGCTCCCCTCAGCAGTGTATTTCGTCACTCTGCCTGTTGTGTTCCCCGCTCTGGCTCTGGTGAATTCTCTCACCCTCCCGCGCTTCTGACTGTACCCAGTGCTTGTATAAATAAATAAATAAATAAGCCTTTGGAAAAAAAAATTATTTTGTAGGTATAAATTTTACCCTTCTCTTTAAGTTTGGACTACCTGATTTAATCAGAATCTGCCACTTAGGACCCACAAATAGCTCCTGCAGAAGGGAATAGATGGGAGCTGGAGCTCAGGACAGGACAATGTCAGCTGTCACAGACAGTGCCAAGGGCATGGCAAATTCTTCCATATAGTTCAAGGACAATTCACTGTGATAAGTCATTTCCCTTCCAAAGTCCCCTCTCACTGCAGTTTCTTCTCTACATATCTCATTTCTTCCCCTTCTTTCATGTTCTCTAGGGCAAGGGTCCAAGTTTACCATAATACAAACCATCTCCAGCCAAGAACTTCCCAACAGACAGCACCACTGGACAAGGTCAGAGGAAGGAGCCAGCTCCCATCTTCTATTCACTGCTGAAACTAAATATACCTCTGTCATTTCTGCCCTGACCACCTCTAAATACAAGTGATTCAAAAATAAGGGTCTTTCATAAATGAATATTCTGCAATTACTAACAAACCAGCATTGTGTTTGAACCAATTTAAATTTCATTGGTTCACTTCTGCACCTTAGACTGAGAATGGACTACAATCCCAGCTAGAAGCCAGAGTACGTTTGGGCCCAAGGACTCTCCTCAAGGACTTACCAACCGGAAAAGAACATCCTACAAGCAGGCAAGCAAACAGGAGTGTGCCCTAAGCAGCAGCAACGCAGCACGTCCGCGCCTCATGGATTCTAACTCAAACTCCACTGAAACAAAATCGAGGGCTCTTGAGGACCTGGACAAGTGCTGTGTTTTACAAATCACTTAGTCTTTATTCTGATCCTCACAATAGCCTGTGAGGGAGGGAGATGAGATATTATCCTCTCTAAGAGATTTGATTGTGCTCACTCCATTATGTGTCAGAAAAAGTACTTATAATTACTTTCTGAAAACAGCAACAACAAAAAAAGCATTTTAGGAAGTGAAAGTTCGTGTTAAGTTAGGAAGTTTTTCTCCTTGATGAAACAAAACACCTCTCTCTTGATCAAAGGGAAATGAAGACACTGAGCAGGTAACATGAGCTTCCCGCATAACGAAACAGCTTTGAATATCTAAGCACATTCATAATCTCTGAATTTTTTACCAAAGTTCCAACCCAATAGTGAAAAACGTACCTGAAACATTTGTCTGACTTTTCTTCGGGGCAGATTGACATTTAGTTTATGCATCAACTGGTGTATCTCTTCAATATTCAATAAGCCATCGCCATTTTTATCAGCTTCTTCAAAGGTCTGCTTCACCCATGTGCAGAAAGGTCAAGAAAAACACTTGTGATCTCATCAAAATAAAAACTGCTCCCTCACGGAATGCTCACAAGGATATTTAGCATTAACACTGAACTTGAGAAGAAAGTCTTTGGAGACCTGCAATTCACCGACGCAGATGCAGGAGAGCTATGGGGGTGATACAACAAAAGGCAATGAGGAGGCGGGCTCCTATGGGGCTCCCTTTATTGTGAAATCATGGTCCAACCATGTTATTATGAGAGCTTCTGAAACTCAAACATTGTTATCCAGTTTATTAAAGAATCTCTATGATGTGACAAAACTCCAAATATCAGTTTATTTCCCCTGTGATGTTTTATCTTTTCACCTTTACGGAATTCCATGTTACATGATTTTTCCAACTCCCTTTCTCATTCTCACCCCCTAGTTCTAGATATTTTAACCATGTAGTTCAATCTCCTCATTGATGATCTTCAGATAAGGATGTAAAACCAGGAGAGGGGGATATTTGGTACAGATTACAAAGATGTAGGTCTCCTGCGACCCAGACCAGCCCTCCTTTCTCTGCAGTGTTCCTCTTCACCATTACGAGCTTTGATGGCTCTTACCTAACAGCCCTGAAGTTCTAAATCAAAGGCCATAATATGAACTATAGATAGGCTGGAGCTTGCCCTCAAAGCTCAGAAATGATACTAAGAAAGTGAAGATAGGAGCTGAGTTTGGATACAAAGGACTCAGAGCACACGAACTGAGATTTTAAAAGGCATTTAGGGTGATGAGTCTTAGGTGGCTTAATATTCTGGGGAAGCAGAATTAATGGTAACAAATGGGTGAGTTGAAAACTTTAAATTACAGCAAAGGAATTTTAAAAAATGATGATTCATAGTTGTTGGGGGGGGCGTAAATTACAGAAGACAGGAATTGCATAAATCCTTAGAAAACTAAAATGTGCTTCAAAATTCAAAGGTAATGAAAAGGAAAGATAGGAAGGTGACGGGAATAAAACAGAGAACCACAGCAAAGGAAAAGGATAGGTTTAAAGTCCAGAAGTGGGAAAAGGGAACAGGTCAGAGAAAAGGGACAATGGATAATATAAGCTTATTAAGGGGAAATCAAACAGAGATTTTCATTTTAAGTCAAAATATTAACTAACCCTGCCCCTAGTTGTAACACAGCACATCTACATTTCTTTTGGTGATTCAAATCATGATATAGGAAATTGTGCCTTAGAAAGTAAAAACAACCAAGCATTTAGTTTTACTCTTCTAAAGTGAAACAGAAGTGATTTTCTGATTGTAAACGCTTTCTTTCACATTTTGTTCCCTTTATAGCATACAAAAATAACCAGCAAACTCTTTCAAATGCAATAGTTCAGGCAGGATCTCATTATATATATGACACATGGAAGTTAAAGGGTAACCCCACGACTAGATGGAAAAATTCAAGACTGAAGTATTTGAGCCAATTAGTAAAAAGTTCCTGAATCTCACCTTTTTCTGTTTTCTGGGCACAGTGTCCATTCCATAAGCTTCATTTCTTTGGACTGTGGACACTGCTCTGAACCCCACAAAGTACTTAGCCAAAATTCAATGAAATGAGTCCAATGACATTTTTTTTCATCTTTGTCATTTCATCCTTCTTTACCAAAGTCTTTCAAAGACTTCTCCAGAAAAGAGATAGGAACAAGTAAACACTAAAGTTGAATATTCTGCAGATAAAAACCCTTTAGGGCAGGCCTAAGTCTGCAAGGCCTTAAGTGTCAACTGACAATTGATTTAAGGGAAGTGGGGTTTGTAAGATGGAAATAGACCAAGAAATATACACCAGTTCTGATTTAATACGGATGTAGCCCTATGACAGTTGAGTCACTTCTTGAGGCTTCTACTTCATCTACAATGTCTGTGCACACATTAGATTAGTCCCTTCCACTCTTAAGTCTGTGAAAGGAAAAACCATTCCTTCCCAGTAACTATACACGTGGAATAAGATACTATTGCAGGTGAAAGTATTCTGATTATCTTAAAGACATGAGTGACCCAGAAAGCCCTAAATTAATGATTCATAGTCATATACATGATTAATTTAAAAATAGAAGTCTTTATGCAAAGAAAAACTGAGAAAGTGAAAACTGAATGCAAAGTTTTGCCGAATATTTTCCATCAGAAATAGGAGAATGTCAAGTATTAAATGATATTTAGAACAGAGGTCAACAAACTATCTGCAAAGGACATGATAGTAAATATTTTAGGATTTGCAGGCCATTTGGTTTCCACTGCAACTCAACTCTGTTTTTTGTTACACAAAACAGACTGCTTTTCATTAATGAAATGGCAATAAAACTTTAATATCAACACTAAAACTTGAATTTTATATAATTTTCAGTGATCACAAAATGCTTTGCATTTTTTCAGCCATTAAAAATCTATTTTTGGCTCAGGATCCCATACAAAAATAAGTGGTGCCCCAAATTTGCCCTACAAGCTGAATTTTGCAGAACCCTGATTCACAGGGAAGGTGCGAGGTTTCAGTACAGAACATCCTTAAGGGACTACCTAACGAGTTCTAGGGGGAGTAATTTGCTTCATAGATGCATGAAATAAGATGGGAAAATCGTTAAAAGAATGGTCAGATGGAGAAAAATGCTGAGGCTGGAGCCAGCACCATCATCCTGGCTGCAGGGGCTGCTGAGATTTCAGACTTTATCAGAATAGCAACACAAAAGGTTTGCTAACCCTTATAAATCTTATCAATCACAATGATGTCTATTATTTATAATGATTATTATCTATACAAGCCAGATAGATAGTAGTCTAAGCACTTTGTGTATATCAACTTATTTCATCTTTATGCAACTACACAGGGTGGGCACTATGATTAATACATTACAGATAAAAACTCTGAGGCAAGAAAATAACAAATAACTCATCCAAAGTACACAGCATGTGGCAGGGTTGGGGCTGGACCATGGCAGTCAGCACCAGTTTGATTCTTTAACCAAGATACTCCATTGCTTCTTATAGATAAGAGTACTATCTACCTCCATTCAATGTGGTTTACATGAAATACCTTGAATTACACTCCACACATAAAGCTTTTTATACTGTACTTATGATTCATTATTCTCATTATTCATTCACAGGTCTAACTGAAATGCAATAATAATGAACATCCCAAATTTGTTCCCCTCAATTAATATAATTAAATGCATGTCCAATGAAGGATGTCATTCTGTTATTAAGATAGTATCTAAAATGCTATCAAATTCTAACAAATCTGTGTGAGAATGATTCCCTGACTCAAATAACTTTATGATTTTGTCTGTATCTATATTGTTCATTAATTTCATTTTTCCTTTTCTCTACTTAATTGCATAAACATTAGTTGCTTAAAAATTTCTTGTATAAGTATTCTTCTGGGCAGTTCTGGGGCACTTACTTTTAGATAGCACATTTTCAGAATATGAACTCCCTCAAATGTCAACCTGGTTAAATAGAAACATGAAAGTTTTCTACTGCCAGAAAACATGAACAAACAAACCAGATTCAAAAAAACTATTGACCTAAACTGGTACAAATTCAAATTACAATTTATAACTTTTAACATCTTAAATATAATCTTCATGGCATCCACAATGATATAACTACAAAAGGAAATGAGAAAAGAATTAACATTTCACTACCAAAAAAAAAAAAAAATCAACTGAACACAAAAGAAAACAGCAATGCAGAAAATGAGGTATAAAAATCTATGTGAGACATAATAAATAACATGAAGACAGGAATCAGTAGCCCCTTGTAAGTGATTCCCTTAAATAGAAATTGATTAAACTCTCCAATACCATATTAATATTTATTCCTGGAATACAAGAACAGTACAACATATGAGAATCAATTAATATTAAACACCAAATCAAGTTTAATGAAGGTGAAAAAATGATCATCTCATCAAAACAGAAAAAGCACTTGAAAAATTTTAATATAATCTCATAATAAAAATACTCAAAATAGGAATAGAAAATTACTTCAACATAAAAAAGCTGATTATGAAAAAAATGCTAAATATTATTTTTAATAGTCAACAACCAAAAGTGTTTTCTCTAAAATCAGGAATAAGGGCCTCCCCGGTGGCGCAGCGGTTGAGCACGGGGTTGCGAAGCTGCCCGTGGCCTCTGTGGCGCTGGTTCGATCCCTGTCTGCTCCCCGGCCACTGGAGGAGGGTCCCACACGGTGCGCAGACCTCTCCTGCCGCCCGCTGCTCCCCTCAGCAGTGTACCTCGGTCCTTCTGCCTGCTCTGCTCCCCGCTCTGGCTCTGGTGAATTCTCTCACCCTCCCCGCGCGCTTCTGACTGTATCCAGTGCGTGCATAAATAAATAAATAAATAAATCTTTTTAAAAATAAATAAATAATAAAATCAGGAATAAGGTAAGGATGCCCACTTTCACCACTTCTATCCAACTTACTGCTAGAAGTACTAGCCAGAAAAATTGGCAAGGAAAAGAAGCAAGGCATCAAGTTAAAGAGAAATTTGTCAAATTATCTCTGCTTTCAGATGATATATGATCTTATATGTAGAAAACCTTAAAGACCAAACAAAAGAGTTGGTGAAACAGGGCCTCCCCGGTGGCGCAGTGGTTGAGCGCTGGGTTGCGAAGCCAGTGTACTTCGGTGCTTCTGCCTGCTCTGCTCCCCGCTCTGGCTCTGGTGAATTCTCTCACCCTCCCGCGCTTCTGACTGTACCCAGTGCATGTATAAACAAAACAAACAAACAAACAAATAAATAAATAAATAAAACATGCCTCTATAAAAAATTTAAAAAAAAAAGAAACAAATAAATGATTTCAGCAAACGAGCAGGCTACAAAGTCAATATACAAAATTCAGTTGCATTTCTTTGCATGAATAGCAAACAACCTAGAAGGAAATTGTAAGAATGAGTTCATTTACAATAACATCAAAAAAGAATAAAGTATCAGGAAGTAAATTAACCAAGGAAGTAAAAGATTTGTACAATTAAAAATGATAAAACACTACTAAAAGAAAATAAAGAAGACATAATAAATGGAATCAAGACAGCGTTGTATTAACATAGAAACAAACAGACAAACAAATGCAATATAATCGAGCCCCAAAACAAACCCTCACCAATATGGGCCTTTTTTGACATGGCTACCAAGGTTATTTAAAGGAAAAACCACACTCTTTTAAACCAATGATACCAGAAAAATTGAGTATCAAGATGCATAGGAATAAAGCTGGACCATTAACTAACACCATATACAAAATTAACTCAAAAATGATCAAGAAATAAGTCTTAGAAAATAAATAAAACTTAAAAGAATCTAGGACTAATACTTCTTTGTGCAACTCTGTAGTCTCTGGCTTACAGCAATGAGCATGTAATTTTCATGTAACCAGTAAAATCTAATAAAATGGAGAAATTTTGGCACCATTCAAAACTAATAACCAAAGGGTTACTTTAACATTTACCCATTACTCTTACTGGTCTATTTCAAAGATGATGAAAGGGATTTATTTAAGTATCTAAAGGCTCTGGAATACTATGGATTTGTCCCAGTTAACTAATGAAGATATTTGCTTCTGGAACTGTTTCTCCTATGCCACTGCCTTCCTTTCTTCTTTGTTGAAATAATTTGGATTTTGTTCGGCTGTCCAAGAACATGTTCTTCAAAGGAGGTGAATCTTAGTTTACCTTAATAAAGCTGTCCTCAAGGTATAGTTCTATAGATGCCCATAGTAACCATAAGCTTCCCCTCTCTTTCAACTCTACATTCAACTACATGTGTAAGGCTAGATTTTTCTTCATTTACCTCAACCAAAACAACTCATTTCAAAACAATGCAGAAGCAGCTGAGAGAATCCACGTGCCCTGTTCAGACAGGCATTTCAGGAAATGTACAGAAGAGTAAAAAGTACTACCACTCTTCTCACCAATTTGCTTTGCTTTGACAAATAGCTCCTTCTCATAAAGATGTTTTAACACATAATTATTTTCTTAAATAATTTATTATCTTGTTTTAACACATAATTATTTTCTTAAATAATTATTATCTTAAATAACAAAGTGATAAATTCTCAAATTTAACTTCCAATATGACAAACACGGGTAGTGAAAACTCACATAAAACTCTTTTCGGAGTCTTAACAAAACTCTTCAGAGTCTTTAGTTTTTAAGGATTATATATAAAAAGGTCCTAACACCCAAGTACAACTATTTTCATTATTTTCTCTCATCAGAGATTGGTTTGGGAATGAACGTGCAAAATCATTCTGGGCAGTGATGAGAGGCAGTCTTCTGGGGATTCCTGGGGAGTTTTTCTTTACTTTTATGATTGTGATGGAGCTGGAGGGGATTATGCTAAGTGAAATAAGTCAGAAGGGAAAAGAGAAACACTGGATGGTTTCATTTATATGTCACATATAGAGAAACTGAATGAAGTGTTAGGAACAAGACAAAACTTGTAAGCTGACCACAGACCTGAGGCACAAAGCAGGGGATGAGGAGAGAGAGGAGTCACAACAGGGTGGGGAAGAGCACAGGTTTCTATGGTGACAGATGACAGATGCTATGGTGGTGAGAGAACTATGGGGACCACACCTGAGGGGAGAAATCAAATGCTGTCCAAAAGTGAACAACAATGTAAGAAAATAAATTTTTTTAAAAAGGAAATAAAGAAAAAGATTTGTGAGAAGAAACTTTGTCCCCTCTGGGCAGGACTGTGTTGGGACTGGTTGTGCTCCCACCCAAGAGCGGTCAGCTGAGGGGCCCAGCCAGCACACTGAGCATGAGTGTCAGTGACACCACTAACCCTGAGACCGCCTATCTTAGCCCTCGTCCTCATGACACGTTAATATCCTCTGTCCAGGCCCTCTTAGTATGATTCTGTGGCTTGTGCCAGCAAACATTCTTACTGGTCTTTTTTTTCTATCAAATAGAACAATTGAGGAGCAAACTAACAGAATAAATCACAGAAAGTTTGTGTTTTGTTCTTTTATGACTCTTGCTCGCATTTATCGGCATGCTGTGAATATTGATGAAAAATCATGGCTCATTAGCTCAGACCTCCACATGGTCAGAACGCTTTCCATTGGCTGAACATTTCTAGACTGCTCAGCAATACCCAGGGTGAGAGAGTATAGCTGGAGCAGCACTCCAGGAATTTATCACCACTCCAGGAAAAAAAGCAGGGCACACACTCCAATGACGGTAAGGGTGCTGACTACTCCCGCCCTAGACAGGGGCCCAAGTATTTTAGGCCATTCAAAGGTGAAGGGAACAAAGAAGTCAAGAGTGTAACCCCCTCACTTTACATAGAGGGAAACTGAGGCCACGCCTGCTCCACCCCAGCAGGAGCGGTGGACTCTCAGACCAAACACATTCTTCATCTGTCATGTCAGCACTGTGGGACCGTAAGAATTGCCTTAGTCAAGAATGAGATTCACACTCCAGTTTTCTGAGCAATTAAGGGCAGTACATTTAAAAAAAAAAGAAGAAGAAGAAGAAAAGGAAAAATTTCCCTTGAGTATCACTCAGTTCAGTTTCCAAACTCAAAGTTAAAAATAGAGAGAAAGGAGGAAGGAGTTTAGTACCTGGTACCTAATTGGAATTTTAAAAGTATTTGTTAAACTAAATTGACTTTGTAACAAAGTCAGATTTTCTCTAATCCAAATAAACACTTTTCCAGTTACTTCATCTCTCTTAGGAAACTCTAGGCTGCATTTGGAGACCTCTTAAATTGTAGAGCTACATTCAGTCTCCTCGGAAATCTGTTGCCAAGTTCACACAAGATGAAATTTCTCTATGTGCTAGGCATTCATTTACCTGGGGTAAAAGAGGGGAGAGGACAGAGAGGGCTAGGGGAAAGAGACAGAAAAGAGAGTGGTTTCATGCCTCCAGTGTGGGAAAACAAAGCCTAATCTAACCCTCATTTCACACAAGCATCGCATACACACAAACCACATACACACACCACATATACAGCACACACCCCTTGCACCCCACACTTAGTCCTGACACACACAAAGCTCAAAAATAAATTTTTAGAGAGGATATTGGTCATGGGTCCTCTGCCGTTTTGCAAGGGAGTCTTCATCACTGATGCCAGCCATGAGGTACTTGAGGCCTGTGATCCAGGTGCGGGCCTCCTCTGGGTTGGAGGTGATGAGGTCCAGGGACTCCATGTGATTTCCATGGTAGATGGTGAAGCAACAGCTGGGGTCAAAGTTCCCCTCAGCTTGTCTGTGGAATATTTCAGACTGCCGACCCTCGGTGACTTTGTAAATGGAGTCAATGAGTACTGTGAGGATGGGGAGACAGACAGGGCAGGTGAAGATGAAGAAAAAAGAAAAGCAAAATTGTAATCTGAAAAACAAGTAAAAACAAATTCATTGTCTGTGAGTTGTGGTATTAAGTCCATGTGTGAAATACGAATTCCATCACTTTCGGCTAAGAACCTTCTCCATGCTCCACCACTCATGATCCCGGGAAGCCTAGACAATGCCCTCCCAGGCAGTAAATCAGCATGTGTTGAAATCTATGACTGAAGGATAGATATGCCCTTCAGCACAAGAAGACTGGTAGTAAAGGGTAACTATGTTGAATTTATAGTTTATATTCTTACGCAGGAAGACATGAAAGACCTACAACCTAGGTGGGTGTTTCACAATATGTGTGCAAAGATAGTTGAAAATTGAAGGGGAAAAAATTAATGGTGACCATATAGTGTAGCTAACTGTGACTGGCATTTAGAGAGAGAAGGAATAACTACACTTAGAGGGTGGAGAGGAAAAAGGGTGGGGGGAGAGGCACACCCCAGGGGAAAAAGCAGAAAGAAACACTCAGTCCACTTGAGATGCTGAATAGATTACAAAGCCTGAAGAGACCAGAGATTAGCATAACTTAGTAGTGAAACAGTACTGAGGAGAGGCATTGATAAGGATGCACACTTTAAAACACTGTTTTTTGTTTGTTTGCTTGTTTTTAACCATGAATCAGATGTGCTGCATGTCTTAATTGACAGCCCATAAATATGTAAATTCCTCCCCTCTACCTTATAGCAGAGATCCAATTTTCTTCCAGTATTCATTTAGTCCCCACATGACTCATGGGGAATGGAACCCAACTCAGCCTCAGTGGTGACTGCACTGGCCCCATTCCTGTTTCCTGAATCGATAAGGTGTGGGGATGCAACTCAGTTTTAACCAAGCAGTCACAGAGCAGTGAGTCCTGCTTGCAGGAAAAGGTCTGGAAAGGGAATCTTCGCTCCTAAAAAAGGAAGCACCAGCAGAGAAAGCCCTTTTCTGCATCTTCACTGTCATATCAGTTAAGAGTCCCATGATAGCTGAAACCGTGTTTCTTCTGCCTTGGTTACAACATGAACACAGAAAAGACAGAGCCAAGAGCACAGAGGGCAGAAAACCAGAACTCAAATTCCTATGCCTGGATCTGTCCATCTCTGAGTTTCTTGTGTGAGATAATGAATTTGATTATTAGCATGTAAGTCGAAGGTCTTCTCCTATGATTACTTGCAGAGGAAAGCATCTTAACTGATAAAGGAAGAAGAACTGATTAGTCAGGAGACTTCACAACAGGCCACAGAACAGCTTCCTGTGCAAACGGGAAGGAAGAGCAGATGAGAAAGACATTACAGGGGACTCAGCAAGGATTTGGTGCTGAGTGTAGAAGGCATGAGATTTTTAACTAGGAGTAGAAGGTATTATATTTGAAATCATTAAAACAACTTCATCAATACACTTTAAAGTCCACTATATATGAAGTTCTCCATGTTTTATCAGAAAATAAAATACCTCAGGCTATAAAATCTCATACCCCAACTAAATTTTACATATATCAAGTTCCCAACGTAGGAAAAATATTAGCATTTACAACAATCCAGGCAAGAAGTCTTTTATTGGATTTAGTCTCCAAAAAATCTAAAAACAAAAATAGTCATTGCTTACTCTTGTTTTTCCACATAATTTAACAACTGACCCCAAAACCTACAAAAAATATGAAAGTTCCACATATCTGAAGTTTCCAAACATTCCATCCAAAAAACCCCATGAGTTACTGTCTCAAACCAACCAAACAACTCAAAAGTTGGTCTTACTTTTTGCCTTCTCGCTTTTTCTGGAGGGTCTCCATCGGAGGCGGGTCCGGTGCTCGTCTAGGTAAAACAGCCGGACGAGCCCTTTGGTCCCACGCTTCAGCTTGATCATCTGTGTCCCCGACTGCATTACACTCATGCATCTTTCAACTGCAAGAGAGATTAGAGTACATTCAGCTCTCACGCAATGCACATAACCATTGGTGCTCACAAGACTTACTATCAAATAAAATCTCTGATTCGCCCCTAAAGACTGTAGGAGTTAGAAAACAATTTGGTAGAAGAACTCTAAAAAGAGTTGTTTGGAAACTGAATAATTAGAATGAAGCCAGTAAAAACTTCACTGACCACTGACTGAAATAAAATCCTTCTTCCAGGTAAGCAAAGCATTACTACTATACCAAGTCATCTTTTGTTCTAACTGCAACATATTTTTGGAATAAGACCAATGATCATTTAGCCTTTGGGTTTATATTCATAAATCATGTACTGTGACTTCAGTTAAATCTTGGGAATTTTTATATACTCAGTTGTAAAAACACCATAAGATAATATCTTAAAATGCAATCAACAGAAATTCAATTGGCAAAATGTTTCAAAAACTGTTGAAGTTAGCTGGTGGCTGGCTATGTCTTCATATTGTATTTTTGTGTATGTCTGAGAAAGACTAACTGTCTTTCAAATGTAATTAGAAAAAACAATTTTCACAATTAAACATAAAACATGTGTTGATGAATTAAAACTGCTGGTATTTTCCATCTAGGAAGCATAACTTGATGATTACATTCAGGCAACGCCCAAGTCACTTATTAGCCTACTTATTTGAATTTTCTCTGCCTTTAAATGAATCTTGTTAGAAACGTTCATCTACTGGGGTTGCATGTCTCCCCTTTATTGGTAATTGGAAATACTTTCTTTCCATTTCAAGTGCTATAGGTGGCATGTCAATCACCCCACCTAAGAAATGGGCACCTGACTTCAATTTGAACAAACCTGATTCCCTCCAATTCTGAGCACAGCCCTGATGACAATGGAACTGAGCCACTGCAATGGCCAAGACTTAAACGCTGTCAGTTGGCCACCCCAAGATGCCAGAGTTGTCACACTTACTCTTCCTGAGGACAATAAATTATTCCATTTTCCCTTGATTCTGTGATTTATTCACCAGTCTTCCAAATACACATTTATTATATCAGCCAGAAACAGCCTTTATTTCACCAACTGAAAGTTAAGCACATAAATAACCTCTAGAGCACAACTGGCTCTGAGTACCTACCTTTATCAAGCAGCCTGCTGTTAGAAACAGATAAGAGAATACAGTAAATAAACATCAATAACATCACATTTTGGCTTTTTTGGCTAAGTGTACTGGTCTTCACCAGGAAAGATAATTTGATCCCAAAGTTTAATATTGCATGTTCAAAGCACTCATTAAAGATAACTTCAACATAACCAGCTTTCACTATTTCCTCTACGAAGAGCTTTTTCTTCAAAGAAATCAAGGGAAAACTGTGCTAATTACAGCATGGTTTAGGATATGATACTGGAAGGAAAACGATATATAGGCTGTTCTTACTCATTTTATCTGATATATCAAATATATAATAAAAACATTGCTGAAGAAAAATGTTCCCTTTGAATCAGAGAGTCAGAAATGTGACTTCTGGACAGTCACACTGTCCCTCTCACACCAGTAATTAGAGAATAGAAGAGTGTCAGTACCGCAAGATAAAATCATCAAGTTCAATGGTGATGGGACACAGGTGCTTATGGTGTTGGGGGGAGAACTCTAGGGACTACATCTGAGGGGAGAAATCAAATACTGCCCAAAAATGAACAACAATGTAAGAAGACAAATTTTAAAAATTAAATTAAAAAAAAAAATCAAGTCCAACCAACCAGACCAGAAATTCCCAAAAATTCTATTAGGACTTCATTGGCCACTGACAATAGGTCACATTAAGAAACACGTTCATGGAGGGACAACTTTCTCCAGGGACAGGACTGTGTAGTGAGGGAAGGCAGATCACACAGAGACACTGCCTTTGACTTGAAAGAGTAGATTCCGGGCCTCCCCGGTGGCGCAGCGGTTGAGTGCTGGGTTGCGAAGCTGCCCGCGGCCTCTGCGGCGCCGGTTCGATCCCCGGCTGCTCCCCGGTCACTGGAGGAGGATCCCACATGGCGCGCAGACCTCTCCTGCTGCCCGCTGCTCCCCTCAGCAGTGTACTTCGGTCCTTCTGCCTGCTCTGCTCCCCACTCTGGCTCTGGTGAATTCTCTCACCCTCCCGCGCTTCTGACTGTACCCAGTGCATGTATAAAACAAAAACCAAAAAAAAAAAAAAACCATGAAAGAGTAGATTCCATAAAATAGAACAAGAAACAAAGGAACCAGGAGGTGTTCCAGTGATGTAGGGTGACAGCACCTCCTCACACACATCTCAGTAATGCAGGTATCTCAGGAAATCTGCAACACAGGTGACAAATTCAAACAGCTACCAACATTGACCCCCATTCTCCTCATGATAGCCTCAATATTTTAGGACACAATGCAGTGACCTTCAAGAATATTAAGGGAGAAATGCCCACCAGCTCATTATAAAACACACATGAATTTTTGTCTGTTATGATCCAGACCTCACTATGTACACAAACTTGACATACTGGTTGGAATCATGATATTTAAGCCATTTGGCACTCAGCTGCTGTTCATTTGTAATATAAACAGCTTTCTATGTTTCTACACATTCTTACTAATTATTTTAATGGCTGCCTAACAGATAGCATAAATATTTAAAGAGCAGAACAGATGAGTGGAGGATTATATTTCTCACTTTATTACACAGAGTTTTAAACTCTTAACAGAGTCTCAGCTGTAAAATGAAAGGCATAACAAAGTGGTCTACAAGGTCCTTTAGAATTCAACTCTTTAAAAGGATCAAATCTATTGTTTCTGTCACAGTCCATTGAAAATAAGTAAATTTCCTTTGGGGTTATCAGTTCACTAAATCCTTGAAGCAGAAATTGCTATAAAGAACTACAGTTCTGATTTGAAGTAACATAATAGAAAGTATATACTATGTGGGAGCAGATTCCCAAAATTTCCACTAACTGTGATATCTCGGAGGACTTGTTTGAATACATGTTTGAATGTATTAATACATGTTTGAATCAGAGGGAATCACATTCTGTGGGACTGTCATACACACCAAATGATGCAAATATTTTTAACAGTTCATATATTAAAATCCATATGTTTTAAATGTAGGATCCAATGTCCTTCATATACTTAGAGTTCTGTGATGAGCTTATTTTACATTTCCATCACTCCCAAATCTCACACCAAATGGAAGTCACGCCCACACTTATATCCATAGTCCTAGAAATCACTAAGTTACATTCTATCTCTAGAGGTGAGCCTCTTCTGGATATTTCATGGATATTTCACACAAAATATGACCCTTTGTGTCTGAAGCCTGTCACTCAGCACAATGTTTCTGAGGCTCCTATGATGATGTGTTTGATTGGGTTTTTTCTTCTCTTCCCCGCTCCTTCACAAGCTCTTCCACTGCCACTTAGGGTAGAAATGACCATAAGAGTAGATGGTTGAATAAAATGATATGTAACTATGAAAGATAATATGGAAGATCTCATGAACTGCTATGGAATAATTTTCAGGATATATTAGTAAGTGAAAAAAGCAAGGTATAAATAAGCATATACACAGAGTTTGTGTAAGCAAAAGATGGGAATTTTTTACCATGTACAAATATCTTTTTCATTATAAAAAGAAACACAATCAGGATAACCCAGAAAACAATAAAGCTGGTTACCTAAAAGCATGGGAAATATTCAAGTGGAAAGGACAAGAGTGACTCTCATATCCTATCTGCTCGAAATTACAATTAAATCAGCAAGAATGGGGAGGTAAAACACAGAAAGTAAACATACACACACATGTGTTTGTATTTGTATATACACACGCTTGGCTGTGTGCATGTGTGTATGCATATATTTCCTACCTCTGTCTCTGAGAAGGCCTAAAGGAAAAATTTCCAACATTCATAAGCACGTGAGCTGCCCTACCCATACTGTTTTAAAGGTCACCATGAAAGCCATAAGAAAGTGTCAGTTGTGCTCTTCTGTAAACACATCTATTCTAGGGCACTAATCATCAAACTATGCATAAAATAGCCAAAAAAATTTCCAGATCCTCTTAGAATCAGCAAAATGTCACATTAAAAACGTGCAGCTTCCTTAGAGTAAATCTAAATGACTGAAAGGGATTCACTTCAGATAACAACTTAGTTTCTATATGGAAAAAATGCCAAAATACTGCAGGTAATGTTTCAAAGGAAGGAAAGGGGGGTCTCCTAAAATATCAGAGCAGGAGCAATGCATATGTGCTTACCTCTCAACACAGAACAAACCATATTTGGGACCCAGTGTGTAGTGAGGACTGACCCGTTGTGGATGGGGACACAGTAGGGTGACAGTCAGTGCACAGGGTCATAGCAGGAGAGGGACCAAAGAGAGCTTTGGGTCTATCACAACTGGTCATGTGGACTTCAGAAAAGTCACTGAACATCTGGACACTTCATTTCCCTCAATCAAAACACATGCATTTTCCTGTAAGGTCTTTGAGTCCATAAAACATTGATCTTTATAAATAATACTTTATCTTCAGTATAACACACTTCCAGTTCATCCAAAAACATTTTAGAATAAATTTAGAGAAAATAAAAAGGTGATTAAGATGCGCATCTCTTACATTAAAAATAATTTTAGTGATATTTATACAATTGTTCTTTCTCAGTGAATGGCTTGACATAAACAACTCTTTCCTGCCCATGGTTGGCCTTGAAGCCAAATTCTATTCTTATGAACTGAAGTGCTTACAGACAACCATGGAGAGCTCTGCTTTTATTAAGTCATGATTCCCCCCAGTGAAGAGCAAACAATGTGGAGTTCATTGATTTTTTTTTTTTTTTTGGTTCCTCCTTGACTAAATCACTCCTGGGGAGAAGATAAGACTATTTGAAAGACTTTTAGAAACTAATTGTTTCACAGTAACATTTTGGAATTTGTTTGTAAACCTTAGATACACATAGTCAATATGTTTACCAAATTAATAAAAATGCATGAGGGGATTT